CACCCTTAAGACACAGGATTCGGTGCTAAAGCGTCCTATCAATAAACTCATAAGACTGCCTATCGAACATTAGTTTAAACTGGTTACCACTAGTTAAATCAATTATTCCATTATTTGTTTTGTTATTAATTAAATAATTTTGTGTCACCTTATGTGAATTTTATATTGTTATGTTACTATAGTTTGTACTCTGTTGAAATCTATTTGTACCTTACCCCATTAGGCAATTTTTACTAATATGTTCATGTTTGTAGTATTTATTTAGTCTGCTTCCTTTTGAGAATACCTCTCAAGGGGGCCGGTATGTTTATCAAGAATGTTATCATTATCTCATTATGTAATCAATTAAAATACAGTCCACTGCACTTATCAAATTTAAAACCTAACCTTCAATTTAAAAAATGTCAATTGATGCACAGTCATGTCGTCGGCTTTTTCGCCGAGACGGTTATGTTTTCTTATGTTGTTGAAATGGGTTTAAAATAAAAGAACGAAACCTACATGAATTTTTTTGTATTCTACTTTTTTTTCCCAACAGTATTTAATGAATTCTTCTTTAACATGTGGTGATAATCTGAGATAGCTTTATGCTTTATGTATTGTTGACTATGTTGGTATGCTCCACCTGAGAATTTTAATAATTTTGATTTTTCAAATAAAAAATAAAATAAGAAAATTCCTTCTCTGTTAATTTATAATTTTTGTCCATGATTATGCCCAATATAGTAAATACCTATTTTGAGAAAACGTCGTGTGTCAAACTGTAATATTGTAAGAAATACTTTCTAACATCTACTTTCTTTAGTATTCTAAAAACTCCGTCTTTCAGTATAATCACTTTCCAGCGTTTAATATATTTACTTTCCATAACTTTCAACTTAACATAATTATAAAAAATAGATTATGTACTTTTCACGTTCACATTATTACGAAAGAGAACAGAATAAATACATAACCACTAACATCAGTAAAATAATAATAGTAATAATAACATCTACTATCACATCTCGGCCTTCCTGACCTATCCCAGTCCCTGGGATTAATACATTGGTAAATAACCCTTAATAATAATAATAATATTATAAGAATACATACAATATCATAAATTCATAACAGCACATAATAGTATAAATCACAAAAAAAAAAAAAAAAAAAAAAAAAAATAGTAAAACAATACATTTCTAATATAAATACATAAGTAATAACATAATTAATTAAATACAGTAAAGAATCATTCCTCTAAGCTCCTGTGTAACCCAATGTTTCATATTATCTTATAGCCCCTTCATAACTCATAAGGCACCTGAGGGTGTCGAAAACCGTCAATGTCTTTGATTATATATCTATCATTTGGTAACACTTTATCTATTATATATGGACCTTTAAACTTGGGTATTAACTAATAACTTTTTATTTACACCCACACTTACATCAGTGTTTTTAATAATAACAAAATCTCCTTTTTTATACAAGGTAGGTTTTTATGTTTTTCATCATAGTATTTTCAATTATATTATTGACTTTTTAATATATTATCTTCAGCCTCTCTCCTTATTTCCTCCAAATTCCTGTCTTTGTCCACTTCTTACAATAACCTTCTAAACTCATTCTCCGTTATACCACCTTGATGTACTCTAAACAATAATTTAGAGGGGGCTTCCCCCGTCGAAGCACATGAAATATTATTCAATGCATACTCAACCTCATCCAGTACTTTGTCCTACTTATTTAAGGCTACTGTCTTTTTTGCCAGCATTGCAGTTATACAACGGTTCACTCTTTCGACTTGCCAATTTGCCCGAGGTGTTGCAGTTGCCACTAGTACTAAGTCTATCTTTCTCTGGGTTAGAAATTCTTTAAACACATTGGATGTGAAAGCTGAACCTCTGTCTGACACTACTCGTCTCGGTTTACTAAACATCTAAAGTAGTCACTCATATATTTCTACCATATACTGAAGAATGTGAAATACATTTCAAGCAAATTGAAATAAAACTTCTTAAAAACTTTTTCCCTCAAATTAGAAAACCAAAATAAATGTTCTCAAAATCACCTCACTGGTTTTTTCTTCTCAAAAGTGACCAGATCTTATCACTTTGACTTCTATACTACTTAAATAACAGCTCACTTTTGTACTTTCTATATACCAAACCATTCCTCATCTCAAAGTACTTATCTTCAGACTTCCTCAACCGCTCTTTTAACTTGTCAATATCTTTATCTTCAATTTGTTTAATTGACAATGTTTGTTCAAAAGTATTTTTATTTAATATTAATATATTGGTATTCCGACTTTACGCGTTAACGACTCAACTTGTTTCATTTTACTTCCTGCACGATGTTCAATACTGAAATCATAATTCTGAAGTAGTAAGACCCATCTTGTAATCCGAGGGTTTTTATCTTTCTTGTCCATGGTCAACTTAAGAGGGCGCACTAGCGGTCAAAATAAATAAAGTACGGCTTAATGATACGGCTTATTGAAGCGACTTACAGTATAAATACCTATTACAAAATATGTAAAAGAGAATTATTTCTATTATCGTAAGAAGCCCGATTTTCGATATTTGTATTAATTAGTTACATAATTAATCGATAAAAAGTTTAAAAAAAACGTGTTAATTTACTATGCGATATTGGACGATTGGAACCAGATTTCAAAAATCGGGCTTCTTACGATTTTAGAAAAAATTCTACTCTACAAATTTTGTGATAAGTATTTATTCTGTAAAAATTCAACTGCTAAAGTAACAATATATCAGGTTTTGTAATACATTTTCAAGCTTTGTTACTCGAAAAATAAAATTTATCGACATAATTCAAATAAAAAAATTAAAATTTGGAAACTGAAAATATCCGTTAAAAGTTCAAAACCAATCAATAATTTTTGAAAATTTATTGTGTATAGAAAATGCTAATATAAACAACCCAATTTTGCTTAAAAACTCCCGGTTCTCTTTAATTTTTTTTGTTCTTCTCTGTGCTTATGCATTTCTAACTGATAAATAAATTAGATTTAAAAAAATTCTCATGCTTTTAGCCTATAAATAGCTCAAAATGTGTCAAAATGAATTGAAAATTTTACCATGTGAACATTTTGAGTGTACCTACGGTTATTTGTTTCTGAATTACAACAAAACATCAAAAATTGATAAATGAAAATTCGTTGATTATTTCCAGGTGAAAATCCAATATCATAAAAATGTTAGATTCAAACATCATAAAAAATTAATTTTACATTCCGATAAACTTTCGTTTGTTTAAGGTAGACAAATTTTAAAAATCTTTTACTAAAAGATTTAATGTTAGCTATGGAAAGACTTTTATTAATTTTAAACTTTAAATTAAAATTTTTTTTTTTTAATAATTTGAACTTTTTTGAGATTTTGCTGAATTTTATCCTAATTTAAACTTTAAATGAATATAAAATACAGATTTATGTAAATAATATTTTCAAAAAAGTTTGTTTCGTTCCAAATTAATTTACTTAAAAAAATATTAAAATTTTAAAAAATTCTAAAATATAAACTAGGTACTTGACTTAGAAAAATATTTTTACCATCAAAATTGTTATAATCAAATTTACAAATTGGCTCTTTTGAATAATTCCAAAAAAATTTTAATATAAATAAACATTTTTTATTTTTAAAATTTGAATTTTGGGTAGTTCGAAATGATTTAGTACTGTCTGTCACACTTTATATTTTATACATTGGTCAATGATATTATTTTAAAGTTGTTGTTTAAAGTGGTTACGATTTAAATAATTTAAAGAATAACTACATATATTATACAAGGTAATTCAGTACTGTTTTGGCCTTTGTTCGAGTAAGACGTACCTACGGTTAGTGTTCCATCGCCTATCTAATCTCCAGAGTACAACGTCCGTACGCAACGTATTTTAAAATGTCTTGCTCAAAATGTGATGAAAAATTCACTCATAATGAGGACACATGGCGAACTGTGCCTACGCCAGGGGCCCAAATTATGAAGGGGCGCAAATTTGTGCTTTTAAATTGGTACTTACTTTTATTCTACCTTCAAAACGACATTTCTTTATTACCTATACGGCTATACATTTTGAAATGTGTATGATTTTGTTTATCTTGTTTATCTTTAAATTCGTGTTTCGTGTGTGTGTGTGTGTGTGTGTGTGAACACTGAACATCGAGCTTATCGGATCGCCCGTGGCCCGTCTATAAAGTATATTATAATAGTATATTATTGTCGTCTATATATCAATAATCTTATTTTAAAAGTGACGATAGTGCGTATTACAATGCATAGTACGATGCGGGTAATTGTATTGCCATTTCTTAGCCGTCTATGCTATTGACACGTCGCACGCTGTAAGCACACACGTAAGTTAATACAACTATATAAACATTTTATAATTTAGTTAGTCGTATATTTTATAAGTTAGTAGTTAATAATTTACGTTAAAATTAACTCTCTAACTATCATACCCAATTCTTAGAACTCATACTTTTTTAGGTATTCTTAGATAAAATATTAGCTTCAAAAAACCTTCAAGTGCCTGGTTTGAAAAGCAAAGAAAACTGAAAGAATCTAGTAATAAAAGTTTATCCGCATCGTTAGGCAAATGGCTTCAGAAATCTAGTCCAAAAGAAAATCTAGTAGTTCCCTTAGAAACGGATACTAACGATGAAATAAAAATAACAGAAAATTCTACCACCGTTGAGTCTGATACTAACGATGAAATAAAAATAATAGAAAATACCACCACCATTGAGTCTGATACTAACCATGAGATAAAAATAGAAAAACAGGATAATACCAAAAATGTTGACTTTAATGATCCTGTGAAATGGCCCAAAATAACACCAAGGTTAAAAGCTATTTTAATTGAAATTGGTCCTCCAATCTCTTCTACTCAAAACTACTATCCACATGACGAAAATAATCGTCATTTTAGTAATAAATGGTTCTTCAGAAAACTTACAATGGTGTTGTACTAATAGGTTCGAAGGTAATGGTTAATGTATAGTGTTTCAAAAAATAAACTTTTTTGTTTTCCGTGCATTTTATTTTGTACCACAAATTGTGCTTTTGTTTCTGGTTTTGACGATGGGCAACATTTGAACCCTCGTTTGCCTGATCATGAAATTGACTTACTGTATAAACAGAACTGTATCAAATGGAAAGAACTAGAAAAAAGATTACTTGATGATAAACCTATTGACTTTGAAGTACAAAAAATGTTCAAAAATGAAAAAGAAAAATGGCGTTACATTTTAAAAATAATCGTAGATATTATGTTTTGCGGTAGAAATAATCTTGCTCTTAGAGGTCATTCAGAAAAGATTTTAGACTCGAAAAAAAGAATATTTCTTGATCTTATTGAACTTATTAGTCATTATAACCCGAATTTAAAAGAACATTTAATAGCGCTTAATGAGGGAAAATCTAAAATTAGTTATTTCTCACCAACCATACAAAATGAATTTATTGAGTTAATGGGAAAAACTGTTAAAACTAAAATTCTAGAAATTATTGAAAAAAGTAAATATTATGCAATATTATTTGATAGCACTCCTGATTTTTCACACAAAGAACAGTTATCACAAATTATAAGATACGTACAAATTTCAAATAATGAAGTCACGGTTGAAGAAAGGTTTATCGATTTTATAGAAACAAAAGAAAATACTGGAACTGGTCTGGCTTCCGATATTGTTGATAAATTACAAGTTGATATCTTAAATATCAATAATTTCCGAGGACAGAGTTTTGATAATGGGACAAATATGGCAGGGAAAATTAAAGGAGTTCAGGCAAAAATTACTAAACTAAATAAATTAGCATTTTTTATACCTTGTACAGCGCATAGTTTAAACCTTGTTGGCGTTCATGCTGCCGAAACATCACCTGCTATGGGTATATATGCTATATAACTTATTTTGGAAGTGTTCAGAAAATATTTGTATTCTTATCTAGTTCTACTTCAAGATAGAATATGTTAAAAAATGTCATAAATGTTACTTTAAAGAAACATAGTGATACTCGTTGGTCATCAAAGAAACAACCCATTTCAGCTTTGCATACTAATATTATCAGTATTCCTATGATATTAAAACAAATGAGGGACACTACTAATATAAACTATGACACTATTGATGGTTGCAATCAAATTTTACGTCTAATAGATCTAAAATTTCTGTGCTTACTAAATATATGGAATAAAATACTTACGCATATCGATAAAACCAATAACTCTTTGCAAACTAAAGATATTACAATTGATATGGCAAGTAAAATGTTAAACGGTTTGTATAATTCTATTCAAGAAATTCGTGATAACAATTTTGAGGATTCATTAAAAAATGCAAAGAATACTGCATCGAAATGGAACTGTCTAATAGAACCCTAATTTCTAGAAAAACGAAGGCATAAAACAAAACGTATGGATGGAGAAGAAGCAATAGATGATGGTGCAACATCCGTCTACGCCAAAATCAAAAATGATTTTTACATGGCAGTTGACTCAATCTTATCGAGTTTAAAATGGCGATTTAAAAGAATGACTATTTTATCTAATGACTTTGAATTTTTATGTGGAAGTAAGCTATCGTCAATGGATTTTGATAAAATTAAAAAATGTACAAACGATTTAGCAATCAAATACGACAAGGACCTCAATAGATTCGAGCTTTGCTCTGAAATGGAATGTTTTAAACACCAGGCTTCTGCATTGATGACCAATTTCAAAATGGCTGCACCGATTGATTTATTAAAATTTATTCATAAACAAAACTTGCAATATATTTATCCTAACATAGAAATAGCGTTAAGAATATATCTCACTATTCCAGTAACAACTGCTAGTTGTGAAAGAAGTTTTAGTAAACTTAAACTAATAAAAAATTACTTAAGATCAACTATTGGACAAGAGAGACTAACAAGCATGGCAATTTTATCCATAGAACATGAATTTGCTAAACAAATTTCATATGACGAAATCATCAATGAATTCTTTAGCCTTAAAGAAAGAAAAGAAAATTTTTATAGTTTGAAATTTACATAATCATAATAACTGATAGTTAAATAATATTGTATTACCTAATTATATACATAAAAAATAAATGTTAAAAAATATCATTCCGTATTTTCGTCAATTTTTTAATCGCTAAAAAGGCGCATTTTCCTAGGTTTTCCAGGGGCGCTAACGAGTCTTTCTACGCCACTGGAATAAAGTCAGGTAAAGATCTCCTGTCATTATAATTTTTGTAATCATTAAATACTTAATACACTGTATCTTAAATGTATACTACATGCTTATTTCATACATATTTTTATTTATTTACATTTTACCTAAAACATTAGTTGTTAGACCTTCATTAGAAACTTATCAATATTATACCTATTTTGTTTACTTTAATAATAGACTACATTATATTCACAAAAAAAGAAAAAACAGGGATGAATAATAAATTAAACTATCTTAATGGCATCAATTAACACACTTTTCGACATCATTGATAAAGAAAATACAACAGTTAATTCACTTAATGAGATTAACACACAACTATATAACAATGAAACCAGTTTTAACATACTATTTACTAATATTAGAAGTATTGCTAATCACATATCTGAACTAGATTGTCTAAATGCAGCAATTAAGAATAAAAGCCATATCATAATTACAGTCGAATCATGGTTAGGAAATAATATCAAAAATATATCTCGTTAAACAATTATCAATCTTCAATTTCTAAAAATCATATACGCAAATCCGACGGCATAGTTATATTTATTCAAAAAGATATAAATTACACCACGAAGGAATTTATAATACAAGATGCAAACTGTCTGTTAACAACAATAACATTTAATAAAATCTCCTATAGACAACTTACATTAATACTAATAGGTGATATGAACATAAATTTATCTGACACCACAAACTCTACAACATTATACTACGATTTATTAAATTCTTTTAACTTTATCCAATACATTAATTGCCCCACAAGACCTTTGACCAATAGTTGCATCGACCATATATTCATTAGAGATAATCACAAACATTATAATATTCATTCAGGGGTTATAGACTCACTAATTACTGATCATTATCTTTTATTTTTACAATTAAATCATACCGTTCCACAACAAACTAAAAATTCAAATAATAACTCATATAAATTCGTCAACTTTAGAGAACTAAAAAAAGCAATAAACCGAACAGATTGGGGTGAATTAATAACTTCAAAACAAGCTAAAAAGAAAATAACATTACTTACATCAATTATAAAAACCAATTTAAATAATAATACACACCATGGGACAAAAAGCAATAATTATCAACGAAACCAGTGGATTACACCAGGTATCATCAGAGCCATAAAAAAGGGATAAATTACATGTTTTAACTAGAAAGCAACCTTTTAACACTCCTAACTGATAAATATAAAGCATATAGAAATAAACTATCTAATATTATAACCATACAGAAACAGAATTTCTATGGTACCAAAATCATAAAATTTTGCAACAACCCTAAAAAAATGTGGTCAACAATAAAGGAAATAACGACGCAAACGCAGCCTACCCAAAAAAATTCTAATTTTAATATTGATAACTATAAATCTGATGCTGACCCACTTTTTATAGCCAATACCTTTAATAGATTTTTTACCTCAATGGGAAGCCAAAATAATGCCACAAAAAAACATTTTTTCCAATAAAATTCATCGACAGACAAACTTGACTCGAATCAATCCTTGTATTTAAGAAAAATAAATGCCTTGGAAGTAAATAATATTATCTCAAATATGAAAGGTGACTCGGCCACCGGGAAAGATGGAATAACAATTAACGTAGTTAAACAGATTAAAGAATCAATATCAGATATCTTAGCTCATATTTTCAATAAAATACTACTGGAAGGTATCATACCAAATTCTTTTAAAAGTGCCATAGTAACTCCAATTTATAAAAACGGCAATAAAAAATTAATAAATAATTACAGACCAATTAGCTTACTAAATATTTTTTCAAAAATTTTTGAGCGGGCCATAAAAACAAGACTTTTAGATTACTTAGAAGAAAATAATATCTTACCTAAATCCCAATACGGATTTAGGAAAAACCTAGGAACAGAAGATGCCTTAGCACGGCTTTCCATGGATATATATAGTAACCTAAACAATAATAAAAAAGGAATTTTCCTGGACCTCAGTAAAGCTTTTGACAGCATTTCTCATAAATCGTTGATATTCATACTTCAATCAATAGGTATAGTTAATAAACCACTAAAATTATTAGAATCTTACTTAGACAACAGAAAACAACAAGTAAGAATTAATAACACACTTAGTGACGAAATTACAATCACAACGGGAGTTCCTCAAGCGACAGTATTATCACCTATTCTTTATATTATATATGTCTCTTCGATAAGTCATTTAAATATTCACGGTAAACTATTTTCTTATGCAGACGATACAGCCATCCTTATATCTGGGGACAATTGGGACGAAGTTCGTCTAAAAGCAGAAACGGACCTTCACTTGATAAATGCATGGTTTCTTAAACATAATTTAAGAATAAATTACACTAAATCAAACTTCATTAATTTCACTCTAGACAAAAGAACCCAACCCAATTCAAATACAATTAAAATCCATGATATAGATTGTAAATCTAATAACTGTTCGTGTAATGTTATAAATAAAACGGTAACTATTAAATATTTAGCTCATAAAAGCATAATTAAAATAATTTTGAGTAAACGAAAAACATATCCCACTAAAGATCTATTTACTGAATTTAAAGTTCTTACGACGCAACAATTATTCTACAGAAATGCCCTATATTACCCATACAAATTAAATTTAATAGAGTTCAAACCTAAACACTATAATACACGACAAAAAAACAACTTAGAAATACCTACTGTTCGTATATTGAAATCTAGCCGATGTTTTTCGCAAGTGGGTTTGAAATTATTAAACAATATTCCGCTGCAAAATATTAATAGTACGTCTTATAAAATATATAAACAATCTATTAAATTATGGTTGTTAAATAATACTAGTGACCTACACCCTATGTAATATACCAGTGTTCCTATATTATAATGTAGTCTATTTATTTACTTATTTATAAATTCTATTTTTGATGTACTTTTTTATATTATATTATATTTACTTATTTTTTGCAATTTATGCTTTAATTACTATAGTTGTACAGGTATCTCTATTTATATATTTATGTTTTTGAATTATAGTCAGATATGAAGCAATTTCTTACGAAATACCTAAAATATTATAAAAATTGTAAATGTATACCAACTTAGCTCTTGATAGTACTCAATCATCACCCATAAGAGGTTATCCTCAGTGGTGGGATTGGCCATCTAACCATATTATATATATAATCATTAATTACTTATCGAAATTGTATCTTTCTCTTGGCCAATAAATATTATTATTATTATTATTATTAATTAAAAATGAAGAACAATTGAACAAACCCTGTTCTTGAAATGTATTTTACTTATGATATGAATAACAACAGTAATAAATGTAATGTAGTGGGATGTACCAAGTATATATCTGGTAAGCATTCATCAAACTTGGAGAAACACATTTTTGCCCTTCACAAAAATGAGTTCAAAATTATTATATTTTATTTCGGTTTTTTATGGTTATACAGAAGAAAATTATAACAATAACATTTGTTTATGCAATTTATTTTTTTGATTTATTAAGATCGCCATTATCTTGATCATATGTTTTAAACTTTAAAGCAGTTTGAAAATATAAATATTTAAATTGAAGGAAATCGACCAAATTAAAGCATATTAAGTTTTTGATTTTGTAATAATAATAGTTATGTTATCAACTTACGAATGACCTAAATAAACGGTTTAAAAAATTGAAAAAAAAATTATTTTTAAAAACTGGTTTTAACCGGTAACCGATTACCAAAAAACCTAATCAACGGTTTTTAAACTATTAACGGTTATCATAGTGTTTGAAATATCTTTAAAGGAATTATAACCTCAGAATTAATCGATAACCGGTGACCGGTGACCGGTTTTCAAAAATTTTCGGCTAAAAAAAAAAAAAAAGCCATGCTATTAACCCTATGTCAACCATTACACCGTTCGTGCTTCGAATTTATCATTATCCTACCATCTTCACCAAACCAAATATCCATCCAGTTAATCAAATCTGCCCAATAAACATTCGGATGACATGGTCTAGTCATCTACTATATAAAATATTTGTTTTTTACTTAAATCATAATCATCTAATAATACCGTAGCAACCGATTCTATACTCAATTGAGACCCGTTAATACCCGAAATGAAATATCATTATTACACGGTTGTCGGTCACTAGTTTTAATAAGATGAGACTTAATCAACGAAATCGGGCTACCACTATCTATTAACGCATTAACGGTAACATTTTCTTTACATAATATTATAATTACCCTTACATTAATGCTGGCTCTATCAGTCTGATCTCTTCTGCTGATCCACTATGTTGCTGCTCGTTCTGTCGCTGTCGTCGAGATTCTTCATTCGTGTCATTCTTATTTTTCTGATCACGTTCCGTATAGGCTGATCGCTAATGTGTTGTTGAACCGCAACTATAGCATGCTCCTTTTGGTCCAGCTGGATTGGGACATCTTAGGGCGATTTGTGTTCTGGATCCTCAGTTGAAACATATCGGACTTGTTGCTGTATCAACACCCTTTTGACTCCTAGTACACGTATCTTCCGCTTTGGGCTTAGGACTTTCTCCTCTGGGACACTGCTTTTCATTTGAACTGGAAAAAACTGCATTATTTTGAAACCTAACATTTCTGTACTCCACTATCCGCATGTAGTCCATAATGTCAAATAGTAACTCATCTTCGTCATTATGACTACGACTTAACAAATACTGAAATAATTTATTCGAATGGATGCCGTCTAATAGCTGTTCCTGTGCAATGGAACAAATATAATTCCAGATCTGGACAAAGTCGAACCGTTTCGTGAAAATAGTCTAAAATACTTTCGTTTTTACCTTTTCCCCGCGCTGGCGATGCCTTCCATCGACTGACCGTGTTAACCTTTCTGAAGAACGTCGATTTAAATTGTTGTTCAAACTCTGCCCATCAACTAAATCTTCGCCCAGTATACCATTATTGGGCTGGACCGTCCACATTCACTCTCGCCGCCTCCAGCTCGTGTGCGTCCGATCAACGATGTAACGTCGCTACTCCACAGAGCGTGCTCAGCCAATCCACCTTTTCGTGGTCCTTACCTTCGCCATCAAACGTTGGTAGTATTTTGGACACGTCCGGTGGAGCGTATACCTCCTATGACGGTTTCTCCTTTAGCGCTAACATCATCATTAGTAACTCTTTCTGTTTGAGTAATTTCTGCATCAAAATCGCGTTCCTGTCTTCCTTCCCATGGCTCTGATTCACTTCATCCATAGAGTACTACCTCTTGTCGTCGAACTTTTTAACCGTATTTATCTGACCGTCCATAAATAATATTCGCTTTCGAATCCCAATTCTAATGTTAGAAATAACTCCGTCTTTCAGTATAATCACTTTCCAGGGTTTAATATAATTACTTTCAATAACTTTCAACGTAACATAATTATAAAAAAAGGTGGGCAGGTGGGTGTCGCTCTGCTAGACAGTAGGTTACAAGTCTGTCACTGTATAATTTATACTATTAAATTTGAATTCAATGATATAATATCATTGTATAAGAAAAACGATTCTGAGCGGAGACGGTACGTACCTAGACTGCTAGGTAAAAGACATATTATATACACATCTATGGTATTAACCAAAAAATTGACCTATAATAAATTCCAAATTAATCATATCACAATATCCATTAGGTACTTATAACGCGTTATACATTTAATAACAAGTGATACTACCATAGACATATAGTAGTACACTTTAGAAGTTTCAAGTACCCACGAATAATATTATTCAATCACAACAAAATAACTAAAATAGCTATTCTAGGTTTTTTATTATGTAATTTCGTCCTAATTTGAATTTAAAATGTCTGTAAAAAATAACCGTGTTCATAAATTTTTTAGATTTTTTGGTTACTATAAGAACTATTTATGAGAACCTTTGTTTTAAATTTGCAATTCTTAGCTATAAAAACTGAACATTTTATAATTTATTAATTACAATGATTGATAATTTTCCAGAGTTTGATACATTTTGTCAAAATTCCAACTTTAAATGCTTATAAAAAAAATTGTGCCTATGTATTTTCAATGTTTTTGAACTGATATTGTAACAATATATCAGGAGTCTCGTATCAAATTTTTACACTTTTTGGCACAACAGATAAAACTTAATTGATATTTATAGAAAAAAAACTAAAAAAATTTAAAACCGAAAATGTCCGTAAACAGCTCAAAATAAGTCAAAATATTTTCAAAATGTTATGATGTATTGAAAATGATAATTTAAACATTCAGTGAAATTTTCATGTATCTACAGTTATTTGTTTTTGAATTACAACAAAATAAGGAAATCGCTACATGAGAAATCAAGTGAATATCCAATGTTGTAAAAATTTGAATTTCAAACGCTCATAAAAATTTAATTTGACTTTCTTATAGACATTTTTTTTTTGTTGATAAAGGTAGATAATCTTATAAGGAATCTTGTATTACATTTTCAAATCTTAGATTTAAAAAGAAAAATTTTTACGAATTCTTAACTCAAATATTTTGCTATTTATTTTGAAAGCTAACGATATTATTATTAATTTGATTAATTATTATAATGGCTATTATTTGAGGTGCAACATTTCAACAATTTTTAATCAATTACAGTTCATATAATATAAGTTATAATTTTTACAATGTGTTCCGTACCATCTTTAGGCAATTTTCTGGTGAGTTCGGGTTTTCAGAATACAAATCAGACAACGTAAACTAACTTTACTTTTGTTAAAACTTAAGGTCTTTTGAGCTAAAATCGACGGCAGTAGTGAGGCCCCCCACACCTTATGTTGTCACTAAAAGTATATTTCACCTAGTGAGCTACTTATATGTGGGCGTGCCTGCTTAATTAAATTATTGTCTCTCTCCGAATGATCTTAACATCTGCTGCTTTATTTTTTTTTTACTTTTGTTAAGTAGTTATCTAAAACATATGTTGTATAGTTATTGAATTATTTGATTGTTTTGAAACTGGACAGTAGTTATTGATCTATTTTATAACAGTTATATAACAAATAATTATGTTTTTTGTTTCAGGTCATTTAATTCTAAAGAAAATATTGAGACTACTAAATTTGACGATGGAGTTGACCGTGATGATGAGATGGTACATAGCAGCATTATTGAAATTGAGCCTAAAAGATCACAGTCAATGTTATTTGATATCGAATCTGAGAAAAATACTTCTAATTGCCGTCTCTGTAAATTACCTTTAGATTTATGCAAACACCAGAAATCACATAAAAAAAATCACGAAAAATTGTATAAACCTATGAACTCACAATCCACATTTTCTGAAGGATTACACTTAACTAAGCATACCAAGACACCTGAACAGAAAAAAACTTTTGATTGCAAGTACTGCAATAAGATGTTTACTGTGAAGTCAAATTTAACGGTTCATATAAGAAGTCACACTGGTGAAAAACCATATTTTTGTGACTTGTGCAAAAGATCTTTTGCTCAGAGACAAAATATGATGTGTCATATGAGAACCCATACGGGATATAAACCTTATTCATGTGGAATTTGTAAAAGGAAATTTAGCCATAAGTCATTATTAGACTACCATGAATGGAAACACACTGGTATTAAACCATTTAAGTGTGAAATATGTGTTAGAGAATTTTCTCGGAAATCGTGTTTAGTTTATCATCAAAACCACAGTCACACAGGTGAAAAACTTTTTAAGTGCAATGTTTGTGACAAAGTATTTTTCAGAGAATCATTTTTGAAGGATCATATGAGAGTCCATATGACTATGCAATTAGAAAAGTGCCATATTTGTGATAAAACATATACTCATAAATCAAGTTTAAGAAGACATTTGGTGGCCCATTCTGGTGAAAAGGTGTTTGAATGTGGTATGTGTAGGAGATCCTTTCATCGGCGATCAGGTTTAATAGCCCACATAAAAGTTCATATGACAAACAGACCTTTTGAATGCAGTCTCTGCAGATCAACATTTCCTACATTATCAGAACTAGAAAGTCATTCAACATCTCACATCTATAATGATTCATTTCAATGCCATCTTTGTGATGCAAGTTTTATATCAAAATCACTTTTAGATACTCATATGTTATCTCATGCTGGAAATAGAACATTTCAGTGCCATCATTGTTTAGCAACATACGTCCAAAGGAAAAGTTACATTTACCATTTAAAAACTCACAAAGATCATGAAATGTATAAATGTAATTGGTGTAAAATGCCATTTTTTCAAAAAAATAAGCTAATTGATCATTTAAGATTTCATACTGGTGAGAGAACTTTTAAATGCCCCGATTGTAACAAAAGATTTTTGCATAAAGCTGTTTTACAGACACATATGAGAAGTCACGTTATTGAACAAAAATATAAATGTGACATATGTAGAGTAGTCTTTAAACAAAAATTAAATTTAATTAAACACATAAAAACCCATTTTAGGTGTAGATTTTGTAAGACTTACATTTTTCCAAAAATCTGCCTTTATGTCTCATATGAAAATGCATCCTAAAAACAATCCTTATAAATGTAGTGTATGTGGTATTTCATATCTACAAAAAACTGACATGATTAAACATGAAAAGACTCATATGATTGAAAAGGCTTTACTGATTTGTAAAGTATGTAATCAATCTTTTCCTTCAAAAATAAAACGTATTAATCATGAAAGAAAATTTCACACTGAAGCAGCATATTACTGTATAATCTGTTATAAATTGTTTTTTGAAAAAAAGGAAATATCACTACATATTAAATTGCATATGAAGAACATGCCATCTAAATGTTTGGGTTGTAAAGAACCATTGTTACAAGTACCTGTTTCGGCTAAAGTATTAAGAGAGATAATTCTAAATAAAAAAAATATATGTGACGTGTGTTCTGTCATCTTCTAATCTATCAGATACGCAACTAGCTGGAGCATATTATAAAATACAGTATACAGCCATTTCTGAAGTTTCTGGCCATATTGAAGTTCACTCTATTAAATGGGACAGATTAAATACCTTATTTTTATGTACATTACATCTGTATTCTATACTTTTATCAATTTTATTTTATTGTTATTTTTTTAATTAAATTTATTATTAAATTGTTTTCAATAATTATTTTATAGATGATTTGTGATCTGGGCGCTTTATAATTTAATGTGCCTATTAATTGCATTTACATAAGAAATTACATTACATAAAAATTCCAGTTCTATTAATTACAATGATCTGAATTGAAACTGTTTTAACATTATGATATTTTAGTATCTAGATTTTAATAAATATTAATTAATATAATTATTATAATATTGATAACATATGTTTTTTGATGTTTTAATATCCTGTGATGGAAGTATTGTCTAATGAAAACATTGATGTGAAAGCTGGGAACAAGAAATTAAAACAATTGTTTAAACACAAGTTTCTTGTGTACCTATTTTCTCGGTTACAAAAACAAGAATAGGTGAGATTGTTCGATTGCAGTAGCAAGTAGAACAGTTGAAGTACGACAAAAGATAATCCTGGATTTTGGATTGGTTAAACACAACTCAAAATTCACACAATTCAATTTTTGGGAAACAATTAAGAAATAATTGTCATTGGTTAGAAATGTACTAGAAATTTGATGTTGTGACAGGTAAACCATTGCACTTAAAAGACAGTTTCCAATGGAGACATTGTCAAATAAGCTTATTAGCTTATTGAACAACATAGAGGCTTCTTTTTGAATTGCAAAATATAGACTGTGTAGTTGATGCAACACTTATATAATGGCAATCATAAATCATAAAACACTATTTGCGATTTGTATGACAATTATTCTTTTAAAATGTATTGTTTAAGTACTTTTTTAATATTCTTAACGATATAAAAAATGTAGATGATATTTACACTGAGAATTGTCCTGTATTTAGAAAACTTCTGATTAAGTGTAACATATTTCTGTTTGTTATTATTTTATATATGTTAGTATTATTCAAGGCTGGGCAAGTAATTAATATTATAATTTAGTTAATTATTATATTTTCAGTTAAATTATTAGAAATTTTAATATATCAATTAAGTTGAAAAATACCATTAACTTAACTTAACTTCAATTAATAAGTTAAGTTAATAATAAAAAAAAATGCATTTCTGAGATATTGTTTAATAAAATAAGTGATAATTCCTTGAATAGGTAGTAATCATCATTCATAGGTATATTATTATTCAAAAAATGTGTATGATAATCATTATTGTGATAGGTTGGCTGTAATATGGCATAAAGTTAGCTATTACGACCGCTAAGAAAGGATTTTAGGAAATTGAATCTCTAAAGAGGAATAAAAGGGGTTGAAACAATACAATAGTGGTGCCATCAATCAACCAAATAAAATTAAAATATTCAACATTTTCTCCGAAATTAAAAATGTTCGAACTTGACATTTATTAGTGGTTCTTCTAATGATCTAGATGAACAATAAGAAAGGATTTTGAGATGTGGAAATTTAATTTTTTTTTGTTTATAAATGGTTGCTATTGGGTACTCAAGTATGATTATTGAGTATAATCTATGAGTATAATCATTTACCAACTTGTCAACAATTTAATTCAGCTTTTTAAGGAGACCCAAAAACTTTTTAAGAAATATGAATTCTGAACAAGGTATTGGAACTTTCTTTTTTATTAGTTAATCGTGACATTGATGTACACGATGAAATGTTATAAGTAGATTTGCCAACAGTGGCAAAGATACAATTTAAATTAAAAATAATTTGTTTTATAACTGTTATTATTATGTATTCTTTGCATTATGAGTTTTGTCATAGTTTATTGTGTATTTGTGTGACAAGGTAAGGAAGTTTGCTATTTCAGTCGTGATATTGCCTTAAAATACCATTTTTTATCACGCCTCTGCATTTATCAATCACGGCAAAGGTAATGCAGGGATCTATGCAACAACTAGAACATAATTATTCGACAACAATATTTCATGAAAGAAACGATTTGGTTTTATTTATTTTAAGCGTCACGCATGGAGGTTATAATATGAATATAAGATGTAACCAAAAGTTTATGTTTTGTAAGTACCGTGGTATAGATTTCAGGGTCCGGTTTTGCAGGGGATACGGGCGTGATATGCATTTTTGAGCATTTCCTCTTTACCGCCTGGATCATGTAGTGATTCATACCTTACCGCCCGCTGGACAGAAAAATGACGTTTTTCAATGCTTCAACCGCTATAGAAAACCAAACTTTCGGTGCTGGAGTGACAAAAAAAAAACAGTTAAATCATGTACGTGAGTGGTTTGTGATGAGGTGGATGAAGTAACGGGTGATACTATATGCCAGGAGAAACTCACTGTCGTATGTGCTATACCGCGTTTCTACGTCAGTGAGCTTTCTCGAGAAGAAGCCGAAAGGTTGTCAGTTGTTACCGTTTTATTGTTAAATCACGGCGCCGATCGATGTAATGGGCCCGTCAATGCTGAGGCGTAATTCCGAGTTAGGTTTAGGGTGCGTTAAATTTGCCATGGTGGCGAGGGCTGTGGGGCAGTTGTCGAATGCGGCACGAATGCTGTCATTCCACTGTAACGGTCCGTCCTTTTTTTAATTTGAGCCGCTAAGTCAAGTCGTACAACGTAGTCCGCATCTCCGAGGCTTTCGGGATAAATCTACTGTCAAAATTCACCGAACCTTTAAACCGTTATAAGCCTTTTTTACGTCCTTTTTTGGTTACCAGAAGTAACCATCGGTGGATAGTGTTGACGTGGTCTGGGTTGGGTTTGACAATTACGTTAATTACGCGACCCAGGAACGTTAGCGAGGTGGTGTCCACACTTAGCGGGCTTTATTGACATGCCGTAATCTTGAAGCCTCTTCAAAACAGCACGGACGTGTTGCTCGTGCTCGGGTTTCTTCGCGTATCGCGATGAGGACGTCGTCGATACACAGTATACCACTAAGCATTTCATTAACGACGCCTTGAAACGTCTGTGCCGCGTTCCGCAGGCCGAAGTACATCACGGAAAACTCGAAGAGCCCAAATGATTCGTTCAGCTTGTGGTTCTAATGATCATCCGGATGCCATTCTTTTTATTCAAATGTTTAGATTACTAAGCACATATTTACTTGTAAATCCTCCAAAGGGTGCCAATGTTTCCAGTGGAGATATGATAAATACTCTTTTGAATATTAAAGACATAACCAACACTAATGAACGAGCCCAAAGAATAAATCAAGAACTAGATCAAATTTAAAAAAAGGACATTCTGAAAAAATTGAAATTTCATGATCATGATTATATAATTTGCCCGATATATCAAGTTTAGTTTTGTCTTACTTAGCTGGATAGATTAAGTAGCAATTTCTCTTGGTACTTCAAAATATATCAATATTCAATATAGAGATACAATATTACTTCTTGGAGCGATAGTAGCTTTTCTCATATCGTTGATCAGCTGTTTGAAACCAACATTTTCGCTCACCACTTTTGTTGTGTATGAGCCACGAATTAAGATTTAATGAATACGGAAAACAGTGCTTTATTGACTCATATTTCGTGGCAATAACTTCTTAAGTTAAGGCTAGACCGCTAGAACTTTAGAAGATTGTTCTGTGTTAACCGGGAGAATACGGAACTATTAGTTCCTTATTGTCCCCGTTAACACAACAATCCTATAAAGCGCTGTGTGTCATGCCATAGTCTAAGAAAGTTCGACTATCAACTGATAAGCTCCCGTTCCGTATCCAGTATATCTTATTTCATGGTATGAGCATAGGGTCGTTGAGTAACCGGTATCTTAAATCGTTGTTGCAACCACTGGTATATATGTATATAATAACTAGATACCCGACTCCATATACCACAACGTTCTTAAATTATGATTTCCGACTCCATTTTTGACTTAGCGAATGTTTACAAATTCTAATCGTTTTGATTGGCTACGGGCTTGTTTGATATGAAATGTTGTTGCACATAGATAGGTCTGGCAGTGTTTGTAGGTGGTCGGGATGTGCCGTTATTGTATATGGCATATCGGCGGAACGCCAAGTGGCGCTATCTACATTCATAGTATAGCATTCTAAGGGCCGGTTGCATAAAGAACTGTCTGTACATTTGTTACCGGCTCTGTAATTTACAGGACCGTAAGGTTTTAATGATTGTGTAAACTAGAGCTAGTGTTGCATAAAGAAATATTAAATTATTGATAACCGTGGTTACCAAATAAATTAAACCACAATAAACAATGTGTTTTTCTTATCATTACAATCCATGCCTATCCATTCTTCTATTATCTATGATTTTACCGATCTGTAAGTAGTTACAGATGCAAAATCCTATCTGCAGTTTACAGGTGTGGTAGCCGATAATTTACAGAGCCGGTAACTTTACCGAGCGTTCAAGCAACACCTAATTTTATTTACAGAGCCGTCATCGCACTTACAGATCTGTAAGTCGTTACAGAACGTTTATGCAACCCGGCCTAAGTATTACACATTTACAAAGTATAGTAGAGTAGTAAGTATAGTAAGTATAGTAGAAATTATAAATATTTAAATGAGTTACTACAATGTAGTTTTTCGGTCTAAAACTTTAAAAGTTATACAAAATATAGTTTGTAAGTAGATAGAGCCACATAGTATTCCCCCGGGATGCTTATACAATAACGGCACACGAAAATCGTCGAGTGGCCAGACCTATATATATGGCAGTGTGTTGTTGTTTATTATCATATTGCTTGCTTGCTTTGGGGGGATGGCTAAGCCGTGAAACTATACCAGGCTTTTGCCTCTACTAGTGGATGGAAGTTTAGGAAGGTGGTTTTAAATTTGTTGGTCAGCCCATGTCAAAGGGTAGGGTTTGATTCTACACTTTGTGGACGGTGGGGTGTGAGATTTCCCTAAGAGTCGGATTATTATCATATTATCTTTCTAACGTTATTATATATATTATCTGTGGTTGCCACCATAGATATTAAAGAATGGATAGGCCATTTGTGTTAATCATACGGGAACGAACATGAAAATATTTTAAGCATAGATAATAAAGATATGGATAGGCCATTGAAGCTTATCATGCGTTCATGTATTATTATTTTCTCTCTCCCACAAAAAAGAACGCGACCTCATACTGCTCATACAGTGTTAATATAGCCATGGCGATATCCATCTCTTTATTATCTATGATTTTAAGGTTATAGAGGTCTTAACACAAATAGATATATGTATAATTATTGTATATAATTTATGATAAGCATAAGACCTCTGCCAGAATGAGAGGCAATAATAAAAAACAGTCTTTCTCTCTTCCCCATTCCTACACACTTTTCTCTATTTTATTAATATAGTTATGGCCATAGATAATATAAGAATGGATAGGACATAAGAACTTATCACATGAAAATTTAGTGATACTATTTTTAAGGTTATATAAGGCAAATATTGATATGATAATTGATAAATAATGATAAATAAAATTTATATAATTTCATTTTGTTAAAATATTATTTTCCAATTTCCATTTTCCAGGCACAGCCGCACAGGTGGCACAACAATCAAAATACAAACTGACAAATATCTAAATATAACTGACTATCATGTTATTATTATTATTATTTAATAAAATAGTTTTGTACATAACCTTAAAAAGCCTCATATCGTCTTTCTCTCTTTACGTTCTCTCTTCCCCAAAAAAGCACACGGCCTCATATGGAACTGGTATAGGCATGTCCTATCCATTCTTATATTATCTATGGTTATGGCCTATCCATTTTTTAATCTCGATGGTTACCACAATACTATAGATAGTACTATCTTAAACCGTACAAGGCATAGATAATATAATTATATTATCTATGGTACAAGCATTGAACTATATGATATATTATACTATATATCATATAGTTCAATGGGTACAAGGTACTTCAAATGTGTTTAATCAAATGATAGTTGGCACTTGGCAACACTGACTCCAACCTACGCATTCTGTACATTGTTCGACCACGGTGTCACAATGATGAATGACTTCCGGGGCGTTGGCTAAACTATTTGTATTGAGCAATATATTTCGTGCATGGGCTAACAACATTACAGTAAAATATTCTGTGTAAACTGCGGGCTGTTATTTTTTTTCATGTTGCTGTTTCCTGTCGAATATTATAGTATTATACTATAAAAGTGCAATTTGAATTGAATAAGAACTAAAATCACGACTAAACGGATTTTGAATTTTATAATATGTAAGTATAACCTATATCAATTTTATACAACATTCAATATTTCAAATTTTATTTTCAATATACCGGTACATGTATAATATAATGGCAATCTATACAATAATATATAAACTTTTTTAGGTAATTTATATTACACTTACTTACGAGTCGACTATCGATAGAGACAATATTGTTAAAAACTAAAAATAAAAACGTGCACCTATCTACTTACCTAAATTGTGTCCCACGTTTTGAAAACCAAGTTGTTTTTATTGATATTTATTTATATAATATTTCATACTATGTCTGTTACCGACAATGTCGGCGGCCTCTAATCGTTGTGATTGTTCGAACTATTATATTATATACGTCGTATCACGCTGTACAACAACCGGTCGGCGAGAAGCGCCTTGGCGCCCGTGGACTCCGGCCAAATCGCTAGCAACAACAAAAGTTTGTATTTGCCGTACGCTCGAGTTGAGCGCTGACCGTGCGTCTGGTCGCGTCCGGCCTTTTCTGCTGTTGCGACCACCTCGTGGCGCTTCACTATTATTACACAGTTGTTGATTGTCTTTCATCACGGTGTGTTAGTGTTGACGGTAGTGTCGAGCACCGTGCTTGCGTTTCCCCGTTATTATCGTCGTCGTCGTCGACGTCGTATCGACTACAGTCGAGTCGTTACCATTTGGGCGTCCACTATTCATCGTCAAGAATCTCCGCCACTCCCCGTGCACCTTCGCGCCATTGGCATCGTTGCCGAAGCTGTTGCCGTCACCGCCGCGGCCGACCGGTATTATTATTATCGTTTTTATTATTCTATTATACATAGTGTTAATACACTACCTAGTCTATATTATTATTAAATTAATCGAGCGTATTTTATACTTTCGGTCACCTTATCCACTCCAAACGTGTGAACACCGTTTTTTATTATTATTAGTCATCCGGCCAAATGCTACACCAGGGATTCTCAACCTGGGGGGCGCGCCCCCCTAGGGAGGCGTGACAACATTTCAGGGGGAGGCGTGAACCCATGTTGAAAAAAAAAAATAATGAAAAATTTGCCGTTTTCTACGCCGTGCCAAAAATCTATTAATTGTGTGTAATTGTAAATTATAAGTTATATACATATTAATCCAATAACCAAAATTAAAGTATGTGATGACTTATGACGTATATATTATATATTATTATATATCCATATATTAATACTATATCTAAAAAAAAAAAAGGTCATCAATCTTGGTGGTGGGGCGTGAACTCAGATAATAGTTTGAGGGGGGCGTGGACCTCAAAAGGTTGAGAACCCATGTGCTAGACAATAGCCGGTGACGCAACAGAGAGTAATCATTAATCAATACATATTTTCGTAATTGGCTGGTAAATCTGTCGATAGTTGCCATTCTGTTTATCAATTTATTGATTATTAAAGTTTATGTAGGTAATATTTCGGTTGAATTACGATAAATTTGGTAAATTGAAGATACGCTCAAATTAAAAAAAAACGTTGCAGATGTAGGGTATAGGAGACACGAGTCTAAAACCCTTTTGACTTAACGCTTACACCATAAGCAAATAATTTACATGAAAAGACGGATGCTAAATATTGATTTTATTTCAAAAAAATTGTTGATAATTTCAATGGGGGGCAAGGCACATATTATGTATCTAATCAAATTTCCTAGAAATTTGCATTGTAAAAATAAATAAAATAAAATATTTTTCAAGTTATAATGTAGGCATACTATGGCATTGTATTACATTGTAACAGAATACCTTCAAGATTTTGTAGATATAAGTGACATACTAATAAATAAATAAATATTGAACACTTTGACTATCAATGTTGGTCATTTCTTGTATTGTCATTTACTATCTGAATTAATAAACAAATATTAGCCATTTTTATTAATGACGTCATTACTAGTAAAAATGTATTTCCGCCTTCCTGCATTAATTATCGTTAATAATTTATTTCAGAATAAACTGCGGACATTGTTTGTTATTATGTCATCTTCTTCGTCATCATGTACGTCCAATTCGGACGAGCAACAGGCTACAATTGACGCCGAGAACACCGAGAACCAAAATATTTTCGACGACGGTAGAGGTGAATCATGCCCGGCTGAATTGATCCAGGATGATGCGGCTCGTAAAATAATATTTGAAAGAGGCTACGTTGATGGTATAAAAATGCGGATGTCATTTCCATCAGAATTTAAGTCCACGTCGAATGAAGCAGGGGACATTTTTCCCATGATTAATATCATAAATGCCGCCATAGTTGTAGATGTGGCAATCAGGTCAACGATGAATGCGTTAGAAGCGACCTCGTTGGCAGTCGATTTGTGGAATGAGTCAGCTGAAGCCACCTCCATCGAGGCGGTTGTGACAATTGCGTTGGACGCCGTGAAGACAATTGAGGTTGCGGCCAATGTCGCCCGGATCATATCACGTAGAAGCAGACGTTCACTTGGTATGGATGAATGACTAGGCGTATCCATGATTGCGGACTAACACACGATAGAACCATATTGTCATTCTGCATCATACAATTATTCCATCTTATATACGTATATATTACTTCTGCAAGTTAATGTAACGTTTATTTTCAATTTTAAATAAAAACAACATTTTTAATTTTTGTTCTAACTCTATAGGCCTATCTGGGTAGTGATAGTATGAAGAGAAAGAAGCAGAAAAATATTAGTACCTAGATACAGCATCTAATAGCTCAATTTATTTGTGCTTTATACCCATGGTCATGAAGTTAGCCCTCTGCCCCCCTCCCCCACCACACCATCATAAACATTATCCATACTAGTGCAAATATTTAGGAAATGAATTGCAAATAAATAACTAGGTTTGGGAGGGCTGACTTCATGGACCCCCCACCCTTTGTCTGATCCATTCCAAACCAATGTCAATATTGATAAAATCCGTTGTAAATAATTGTAAATTGCTTTCCAAATTTGGAAATCAATACCTTAAATTTCGTCAGCCCTCTCTTTTATTGAAACCATCGTTTTAATATATTATACAGTGTCGGAGAAAATTTGGTAAATACACTCTATAACTCACTTGTCTACATTATACTTATTAGTCTATACATGTTTTATAATTCTGCCTGAGAGAGATTAATAATCCAATAGACTAGTCTCATGTCCTACAAATAGAATTCAAAAATATGCGTAGGTATAGGGCACTGAGGAATATGGGTATTATTCAATGCACCTTGTTTTCACGGTATAGTAAAGAATATGTCAATATTATACTTGAATTAATAAAATGCATATTCGAAAATATTTGAATGAATTCTTTAATATAAGAAAATATATTAACATTATAATTTTCAACGACAAGATTTTTTGAATTATAATAATTGAAAAAAATCTGACAATAAAATGACCACTAGGTAATGAATTGATATTGGTCGAATTGTCAAGTTTTCATGTTTATTATTTATATATATATATTTTATGTTCATGACCTTTTTTATTTTTCATAAACTTAAAAGAGCCTGAGCTATATTTATTCCAACGGCGCCCAGGTACACTAGCCCCACCGATAGATACTGTAGGTATGTTTCATTTTGACCTACTTATTTTTAATTTGCTAAAAAATAATTGTTTACTTTACATGATTAAAACGATGATAATATAATAATACTAAGTACCTACACCTACTCATTGTTAAGGACTAAGTGTAACATGATTAATGATTAATAATTAATAAATGGCATCCCATGGTTATTACTTATTATCAAAAGCAAGTAACAACAAAAACACGTTGTTGTAACACAGTTTGGAATTGATTTATTATAATAGTAGTAACTATACTAATATATTTTATGAAACACGTATCGACCTATTCAATATCTTAACAAATAGTATTATAGTGTATTAGTGTGTTTCATATTGTGAATTATGATTAATCTACCTATTAGTATCTTATAAATAATACATCGTTCCGGAAAGAGCCGCTTCAAAATCATTGGCCAAATTTTACAAATCAGTTAAATTCCTTTTTTTTTTTTATTGGAAAAAATGTATATTTACAATCAGTACCTATATTTTACAAGTTATACAATAAGTAAATGGGATATGGTTTGATTTAAGGGAGGGGGAAGCACCACCCAATGGTGGCACCCAGTAGTTTAATACTATTCATTAGAAAAATAAATAAATACTTTTACATTACTTGTCTATATGAAAGAAAACATGTCACAAAAATACTTTATTAGTAATAGGATAGTCTGACAAAAAATGTAAAAAGGAAAATATTTTTTCCACCCCTTGACAAATTCCTGCGGACGCCCTTGTCTATGTTATAGGTGTACTGTAAATTTATGTGTAATAATTAGGGCTGTGAATTTATAGGAAAGTGCATTTTTTTTTGGTAATTGTAAAACATAACTTTGTTAGTACATAATTTGAATTATGTAACTACGAATCTATCTATGAAACTTTTATTTTGCATATTTTTGCATTTTTTGACGTTTTTAATTTTTTAGGTCATTTTTTCACATTTTTAGGTTATATTTTGCTTCTCTAATTCATTTTCTAGTATTTTTAATCAAATTCCGTCAATTGACTAGTTTGAAAACATTTTTTTTTATTTTACACATGCTGTATATATTATGTCAAATTTATATTTTATTAAATAATATTTTACACAAGTCACAAGCTTTATACGGGTTAGGTAAAGATAAGGATTCGATAAAATAAGGCAACTGCTAGACAACTAGATAAGTTATTGTGGCATATCGTATATCAGTACGAATTTCCAGATTAAGTTATTAGTAGGTATTTTTTTTACTAATGTTTAATATTGTGTACCTACCTAATATTAATATAAATATCAAAATTAAATTAAAAACCATTTAAAATTAATTTTATACCATCATTTTTAGCATTTTATATTCCTTTTTTTTCATTTTAAGTGCATATTTTATTGCATTTTTTTGACATTTTTTAAGATTTTTTAGTGCATTAAATTCACAGCCCTGGTAATAATCTTACCAAATACAAAATAATCTATATCATACCGACATGAATTGTTTCCTTAAAACGAATACAAGGCATACAGCTTGATATGATATTTACCATATTTATCATAGGCAATAAAAAAAAAGTTTAAATTAAAATTTAAAAAATTAAATAATTAGGTAGGTACATTTTTTCTAAAAAAATAAGAAATATAGTTTAATTTTTAATGATTTATTAATATTTTAGAAAAGAATTAAATAATTTATTTTGAGGGGGCCATTACAATTTGTTGGGGTGGCTAGGCCTGGAGGCCCCCCTCTAGTTGTGCTTATGGTTATGTCATGACAAATTAAATAGGTATGTCAGCAACTTTGTGATACTCATGTCTGTGACGTAACCATTTCTCCGACTGTTATCAAACGTTATTATTTTATAAAAACAATCATATTATCCGGAACATTTCTACTGTGCGCCGACGCGCCGTGCGGAACATTTTTTTTTTGCAATTTTTTTTTAAACTTATGTAATTAAGTACGCTGAAAACGATGGTGAAGTCAGAATTTGGCGGTCGGACATAATTTCAAAATTATGACCCTTCAGATTTCAAATAGTGCAGATGACCTCCAGTGATTACACAGTTTGCAGCACACGCCACACAGTGCCGTGCCTCCGCTCCGAAAATTTAATATATCCCTCGATTTGTTATGAAACACCACCTCAAGTAGATCACAGGGTAATTACTAATTTATTGTTGCATCAGTTATCATAAAAACAATTTTAAAAAAAGTTAGGATAGACCGCCCGAATCTTTGAATTTCTTTGGTTAACATGTTATATAGGTGCCTACTAACTTTGAAGAGTCATAACTTCAAAACTATGTCCGAGCTCCAAATTCTGACTTCATCATCGTTTTCACCATATTTAACTACATAAGTTTTTTGTGTAGCCACTTGCGCTTAGTGCTTACCCGGTAAATTATTTTATAAATTTAAAATATGAAATACACACACTGACATAGATACCATGTCTCAGTATTCTGTAAAGAACTTAATAAAAATAATATAATCAAGCTCCGAAATTTTAAAAGTTCGTTACATCATGAGAGCTTTGGCTAAAAAAACTTCGTTAAATCGAGGGTACCAAAATCCATTTAATTATTCGATATAGGTACCGCAAGATTTTCAAGGGAATGACAGTTTCATTCATTAGTCCGAAAGCATAAAATATATTCACTTTCCTATCAGAAAAAATGATTCTAAAATAGTAAATGGAAGCATTTTTAATGCCCTAAAACGTGATGAATAACAAACTTTAATAAAAAATAACACAATTGTTTAATCAATACATTCATTGCTCCGCTCAGAATCTAAAATATAGTCACATTAATATTTTATAATGAGCGTTTAAATTGTTGATCACATAGTAAAATCGAACTGCGGTAAAAAAGTACGGTAGGTATAATTAATAATTAGGGTCTGATTGGTCTGCACATTTATATGCATTTGCATTTTTTTTAATAGTCCAAAAAGTAGCTACAAGTTTGAATTATAGTCAATACGGAACACGGAGTTTTATTTTACATATTTTTGGATATTTTGTAATTTTTTGAATATTTCTGTGTTTTACGAATACTTTTTAACCGTGGACATTGGCAAACGGAAAAAAAGTCCCCGGTAAAAAAGTCTCCAAATTAATATTTTATTTAAATTCAGTCTTTTATCATATAGGTATTTATATAGGTACATAGCCCATAGGTAATACATATTACATATTTTTATTTAAAATAATTCTAAGATTAAAAATTATCGTAGATAAGTATTTATATACATAATTAGGTACATTTTAAATTTATTGAAAATAGTATAATAATATAATATCTTAAACATATTTACATATGTTACGTATTTGTTCAGACATGCACCCCTCGTAAAATAATAAAAAATTGAATAAAATATGTAGGTTAAAATTGTATTTACTATTATATAATTTTCAGATCTTTTATACTTGAATAATTACATTTTTATTTTTTTTAAATAATATTGTTATATGTTCCAGATATTATATTATTTTCAATAAATTTAAAATGTACCTAGTTATGTATATAAATACTTATCTACGATAATTTTTAATCCTAGAATTATTTTCAATAAAAATATGTAACATGTATTACCTATGGGCTATGTGCCTATGTACCTATATAAATACCTATATGATAAAAGACTGAATTTAAATAAAATATTAATTTGGAAACTTTTGTTCCGTGAGACTTTCTTACCGGGGACTATTTTACCGGGAACTTTTTTTCCGAGACTTTTTTTCCGGGGACTTTTTTTCCTAATATCCCCCTATGATCTGTAATGTTTTTACAACTAGGATAAATAACAATTTTAAACTTTTCATAATACTTTTGATTATATATTATAGTAGGTAACATACAATACAAAACATGTTATATAATATATTAAAAAAAAAACAAAATATTATATTAATAAAAAAAAACTTGACACTTTAGGCTAGTAGGAATGTTGTCACACCTATAAGCTGTAGAAAAAAAATTATTGAATTAATATGTTATATAATATTTTCAACTCTGAAAAAAAATACTACTACAGCATAAAAATACATGTAGCTAGTAAACCTTAATACAAATTAAAGAACAAACCTAATATATATTTAGGTATATAATAATAATATTTTTTTTTTTAATAAGCAATTAACAATAAAATGCATATAATATCTAACTTTAAAATAAAAAATGTATTTATTATAATCAAAAAGTAAAAATATAGATGAGAGTGGTGGGCCTGTATTCTGTAAAGCAAATGCGGCGCGGCGAGGCGATGGCTGAGCGGTGAAGTGGGAGTGGGGTCGTCGGCGGCGGCGGAGGCCGACCAATGAAAAACGGAGAAATGCTTACAGTACATGGCTGGGCGGAGGGTGGATACGCGACCCGTCTAAAAACGGGTATTTTGCTGACATACCTATTTAATTTGTCATGGTACTTGGTGTATGTTGTAACTGTAAGTACCATCAACTACTATAGCTTGAACAACAATGTACCTAATGTACAACACATACACTAAGCGGTCATTAGTATTTTAAAATTTACTAATTTTATAAATATGGCATAGTAGTTATTATTATTTAATATCAAGAAAAACAGCTATATTTTTTTTTATTAGAATTTTGTATTTACAGTTGACACATGTATTAATCTATAATAAATAATTTATTACACTTCAGTACCTAGTATAACTTTTTCATAGAATACTTTTACTCAAATACTTTACAAGACAGGCGATTGATTCTGTTATTTTCACAGTGGTGTAGCATTGAATCCTGAAAATACAATAACAGTAATAGTAAATAATAAACTATAAATTCAATTATTGTCATTTAAAAATATTTAGTTTATTAAACTATATACACAATACACAAGTTATAAGTTATTAAATAAATGGGCGGAGAGACTATACAATAATATTAACAAAAACTAAATTATTGTCCTTTAAAAAGAGTAAGTTTATTAAACCACATCCGAACAGAAGGGGTTTCATTGTGTTTTTTTAAACTGTAATTTATTTTTATATTTATATAAGTGGAAGATATAGATTTTATTAAAAGAGTTGTATGGTCGGCTAATGGACTTCTGGTTTCAGTACTATGATTTTTTAATGATTTAAATATATTTGAATTAAATACAAAATGTTTAAGGATATCAGTTTGAACTTGTAATTTATTTACATCTTTAGAAGTATAATCATATGTTCTCAAAATGTTTTCTGTAATGAAACAAACATCTATGACATCTTCGCTTGGAAAAATAAGTCCACCATGAATGCCTCCCTTATTTTTTAATGTTATCAACAAATTTAAAAAAACATTCTTTTTCGGCAGCACACAATGCATGTTTGCAAACATCACATTTCAGTACATTGGTCAATTTATGAACTACAAATCCTGAAATATAAGCAATGATTTCTTTTGAAAAATTACTAAAAGAGTATGAACTGTGACTTCCAATATAATCATGGTCCATTATAAATGCAGAAATATCTTGTTCATTTTCTTCATCAATTGGATCAAAACTGCAACCTGAAGAATTGTTATTTAAAACAGTAACTGGATCTGAACTGGAGTAGTGAAGAATATCTATCTCTTCAAGTGGTATACAATTACCAGTATTAAAACTTTGTATATCATTTGTTCTGATAACTAATTTTTGGTATGCTGAACGAAACTGCCTCACTGTTGGATTATTGTTATGCCCGCCGTGGGCCCTTATACTACCGAAAAACAGTTCTACGTGATCTTGGCTAAATTTATAAATTTTCATATGTTGTAAGACATCAGTTTCCACAAACAAAGTATATAGCTGTAAAATACTATTTAAACTGACTATAAATCCAAGAAACCCAGTTTTTTGTTGTGATTCAAGTACGGGTGCAAAAACTCCTGGTCTATCTTAAATTTTAAGACCTTTAATATATGTTGTCATTTTTTATGTGAACAATCTAACTTCTTGAATGTTTTCTTCACATAATGCTTTTTTAAATCCTACACAGTTGATAGATTTTGAGTTTAATATGTCAAAGCCAGTATTAAAGAGTTCGATAAATTGTATGGTAGCACCTGCATTAGAAAACTCTTTTAGTTTGAGGCTATTTTTGCAAAATGTCAATGCATCTGCTACTGACTGACTAAGTAGTTGGGTTGCAAGTTTTACTTTCATCTTTTGTTTAAAATAAAGAAGATGCTGTTTTCGCAGTTTATTAGCAAGATGGCATCCTTCCTTCTCTTGCAAATAACACAATTGTCGGACATATTCAAATTTTATTTCATTATTTGTACTATCTCTAAAGACCTTCTTTTCACCAAAAGCATAACGAACCAATTTGATCATATGTGCAAGATCAAAAAGGGTTACAATTTTTGGATTACTTTCAAAGCCAGAAGAAAAAGATGAATCTAATGCACTCAAAACATAATTACAACCTAAAAGTTAAGCTGCACTAATATTACTAGAACAACCATCAAATGTTAAGCTCAAGACTTTTACACCAGTGCTGTTCAATAAATTTAATGCGTGGCGAACTTGTTCAACTTTTTGTGCACTTTTTAAAGCATCCACTACAAAATAACCAATTGGTAACTTCCAATGCTCATTTACCGAGACTGCCATAAAAACTAAACATTGTTTAGCTGTGTTTAAACTATCATAATCAATATAATTTCCCATATCAACCCTTCCATAATACTTTGTACCATCAAATTCCAGGTGTTGTCTTATAGCCATTTCATCCATAGACAAAGCTAATAAAATAGGATGGGGTGAATTATTTACTTTAAGTGTTAGCATCTTTGACGACTCTTCAGTAAAACCTGGTTCAGCATTGACATTTCTGTACCATTTACTAAGAGTTCTACTATGAGGCAAAATCGTGTCAAACTGCTGTCTTACATACGAATATGCTTTAGCAGAAAAAAAATGTAATGATAAAGCAAATTGACGAATGGTGGCACTATATTTCTTTGGAACTTTTTTACCTAATTTTTTTTTTGTCCAATTAGTTATCAAATCTTTATGCTTACCAAAAGATTCAGACAGGGTATAACTGGCTTCCTCGTCAATTAAATTTTGTTTTTGACGCTCGGAAATTATATTCTTCCTATATGAAATTCTTTTACTTAGGCGCCTTATTTTTTGCTGAAGGGTTTTTATTTTAATATTTCTGATAGTGAGTTCATGTGATAGTTGGCGAAAATTTTTTTTCAATGCGATTTTGCGTGGAGTGTCATCTGGAACTATCTCGGTGTCTATGGATGAGTGAAGTACATTCTAAAAAAAAAATTATAAATAAACAAATATATTGTAATTTTATGATTAATGTATGTATAATTGTATTATAATTTTTAATATTACCGAGATATTTTTATTGGGTGTGATTGTTTCACAATTCATCATTGATACAGAAGAATTGTCTAATGGTAGTACTCCTTCTTCACTAGAACTTGATTGAACTGGTTCCAACAAAGATACTCCGTCTACCTCTATATTGCTCAAAGGACACTAAAAATAACAACATAAAAAATGTTGAGACTTGATAAGCAACAAATAAACATTTTAACAGAAATATAATATTAACAATGACCAAATATGGTGACTGTTAGTTTGATAGATAAATTGTATGAATTGAAGAAAATGTTACTTATACCTTTTTAAAATAATATTAATAAAACTTTAAGCAATTTTCATTTAACTGAAATTTAAATTATAAAACCATATCCAATTGCTTTATGTTTTATTAGTATTAGGTAGTATATTTTTGTAATTTATTATATTCTATTGTGTATTGTAAAATTAACAATTACAATAAAATGTATTATTAATTATGACTCACCTTTACTAAAGTTCTGGTAACATTTAAAGAAGCAATATTGTCAACTGAATCGCTAGCAGAACTAGTATAAAAAGTTTTAATTACAGGCAAGTTGGTTACAGTTTTTGAGTATTGTTGTTTAGCCTAAAATAATAAATGTAGATTAGATACCTATCCGTTATGGAGTTACTTTGTTTTGTTTTAATCTACTCAAAATGCACACTTACACATTTTATTCTGTTGATAATTTTAGTTGGAATAGCATGTTTAAGTAACAGTCTTCTACCATTTCCCATTACAAAAAATGAATCGTCAAAATGTGCTGAACAAACTAAACTTGTCTTTGATACTTTATCAGGTAGTATGCCATTTTCTCCCAAAAAATTGTACCATTTATTCTTGTAAGTGTCTTTAAGCGGAAATCTGAAATAAATAGTCAAAGTAAAAGTCTATCATAATCACTTCTAAAAAAAAAAATTGAAAATAAAGATTTCATTTCACAAGATAACATACCCATGAAAAGTTATATTAGCCGATTTAGCTTTGGCATTGTTCGTTCTTCCACAAACTAGACAACTAGGCATTTTTAATTACCAGCAAAAAGAAATAAAAACAGTAAAAGCAAGTTGCAAAATAAACGCAATAACGAAAGTAAAGAGTAATACTGAATTACTGAACGATCATACGGCATGGGTATGACACTAAACCGTCTAAACCATAGAAAAAAGATACTAAACAGTAAACAAAAGCATATTAGAGGGAAACAACACACGAGATAACAAATGTATCAAAGATAACGGCATTACAGATGAATCGTTTAACCATATATTGTACAATAACTTTTGTGTACTATCCACTTAAACTGGCAATCATATACCTTTTGCGCTTCACTTTCTTGTGCAGCTGAGATATGTAAGGCCCTCTCTATACCTATTACTCTATGATTCGATC